ATGCTATCTGCATTAGAAGTGATGGTGACATAATATGCCACTCCCATCCCATCCACCCTTTCTGCTCTGTGATATGGCAGGGTGGTTTTACTTGGTGGTTCCCGTGGAGTGCTGAATGGCAACTTCCCTGATCCCAAGCAGGTTATCTGGGTATGACAGTATGGGTCACTGCCTTAATCCATCAAGCGTGTTCTAGGGGATGAGATGCAGCTCTACTGCATGCACGGGATTTGGGTTGCCTCTTAGCCCTGGTACAGCGAGAGTTTAGTTGCAGATGCAGCCTCTTTGCTGCTTCCCGCTACACAATATGGGTAGAGGAATCCTTTATGGGAGTGGGAAATGACCCATATGTGGCTCTTTCCCTGAAGAGGATCACTCATTTCCTTCTGACGTCTTGGAAGGAAGTTAATTGGCTTCAAGGTTGGGGCAGGAAGTGTGTGGACAAGCCACCAGAGGCACTCTTTGGATACTGAGGTTTGTTCTGGAAACTTATGGGAAAGTCCTCTAGAAATTTATAGAGAATTATATCCCTTCTACAAGTTTTACACAGTGGTTCAAAAACCTGTTGAACAGATACCATTTTCTATTGATTCTGTCAGTGTTAAGAGTAATTTCTGTGGAAGCTATTGATTTTATCCCTATTAAATTCTATAGGATTTTTTTTTGTAAAGGAAATGAACTTCAGTAGGAGGGAACCGTGTTGTGTGAACTGAAAGTGACCTTCTTCCCAGATTTGCAAATTTTCAAGAACTGCTCTGAGATTTGGAAGTAGAACAAACCAGGCTCAGTATAAATGGACTCCATGTGCATTGTGAAAGCTTTTTGCAACTCACCTAATTGTTTCAGATTTGTAACTGTTATTTTTTCCATTTTCATAAGGTACATCATTGTTGTATATGTGTTTTTGTTTGTATTTATTCATTTTATATCATGTTTGTTTTGTTTTGTAGCTTGTACCAGATGCCATTCCTGTAGGTACTGGGTGTTGAGTGTGTGAAACTATATTTTGGTTGGAATTGTGTGCTTTGGTTTCTCTTTCCTTCATGTTTATTTCAGTAAAGCTGGGAAACTTTGAAACTATTGTTTTTTTAGAGAAGTCTGCCTGTAACACATTAAATACATTGGGCCATATTCATCTCTGCTGTAAGCCCACTTAAGTCAGTGGAATTTTAATAGGGATATGTTACAACTGTTTTATATATTCAGCAGATAAATATATATCCTGCTACAAAATAAATCGTCATTGCTACAGAAAATGACATTGATTACTTATCAGACGGGTAACAATAAATAGTCTAAATAGTGCCAAGATAAAACATATGAGGTTTGTTCTGCACGCTTGAAGTGGTTCTTAGCTGCATGTTGTTAGTTTACACTATTCTGAGTGGTTTCTGATTGCCGGTTCTATCTGATCTGCTCAGACCTTTGCATACAATTTGGCAGAGAGAACCTCAAATACCCACTGTAGTAGTCAAGAATGGTAGTGCTTGTGTACAATCCTGATTTTTAAAAGAATGATTATATTTATAATAGTGATCACAAAAGTGACATATAGTGTTCCATTATTTAGTTTGTCTCAGTGTCTCCCATATCAAATCTGCTCAATTTACAAGTCAAAGATTTTTTTTCCTGACATCAAGCCTAACCTGCAATCAGAATTTAGCTGGCAGTTTTTGTTAATGATGGATGACACTGAAGAGAATGCTAAATTCCATTATTATAGCTTTTTGGAGGAGTATGTCTCTTTCACTGTATCAGTCCTATCACAACCATCTTCCCAATATTCCATTCTGGATACTCACCAAGTATTCACTTGCTTTGAGATGAGAGTTCTAATGTCTGTGATTAATAGTGTCTTTAGCATAGAAAGCATCCAAATTCCATTGATGGACCTCAAAGAAAGTAATAGAACACATAGATGGTCAGAAGCAAAGGGTTATAATGGAACCCAGGGAACCCCACATGATTGTATGTTTGAAACAAAAGTCATCTAGAAAGTTAAATTAATCTTGTTCAAAACTGTGTGAATAGCAGGAACCATACAAGACAGATTTGGCTAGAAGGCCATACAGTGTTGAGGAATCACTTGTGTGATATCAAATTAAATGGAAAGGTTCAAAGAACGAAATTGGAATGAACATTCTTAGAGTTATAAACAAATCCTTTAGTTGAACTGAGCCTGTGCTAACTCAGTACTATATAGAGATCTAAAAAATGGCTTGGAATTTTCTGAAAATAAAGTTCTGTGTTTAACTTTATAGAGTCTACAAGTGAACAGTCATTGCCACCACTTCTGGAAAAAACATAATGGACACCCTTTTTTCTTTCTTTGGACTATTAATGGTGAAAAGAGCTTTAATTTTACTGACAGCTGTCATGGTTACAGCGTATCTTTAAGTGACAGGAAGCCACTCATTTGTAACACTTCTTGCACTTAGTTTTGAGCAATTGAAGTGTTTTCCTAGGTCTAGGACTTAAATAGTATAATCTTTGTCTTCCAAATCTGTGCTTCAGTGTCCTAGAGTACTTTGGACTGCAAAATTAAATCTTTTTTTTTATCTTTTTGCCCTATTCTGTGTTTGCAACTGTTTATTACAGTATTATAGTTTTAGTGCTTTTGTTTCAGGTTGTTGAAATGTTTCAGTTATGCCTGCTAGGCCATGAGAATCTTAAGGTTTTTCACTTTGAAGTAACTTTTTAATTCCTAAATCTTCCTGCATAATTAATTAGCTAGGAGTAGAAGGAAATTGATCTTCAGGAAAGCTGTTTATGATACAGTTTGAGTAAATGCTCTTAGAACAAGAACAGTGCTCTCAGAAAAGTAATATTACACCTTTTGACACTGTGTTTTAGTGTTCATAACTGTGTAGCTATATATTTGTCTGGTTTTGTCTACAGAATTCTTTTGTGAGATGAGAGTCTAAAACCATAACAAGTTTAAGCTTCAGATTTCATTTAGTGGCACTGACTTAAATGTAGAGTATGTCCATTTCCTCCTTAGGTGTTAAAAAATGGTGAAATGAAGATCTTATTTTGAAGTATTTCACTCTGATATGTGTATGTGGGTGTGGGGACAGGACCTCAAAATGCATTCTTGTTCAAGGCAAACAGGCATTTTGCAACCACTGGATTTGGTGAAGATGGTAAAAGCTGTAATATTTGATCAATAATTTTGCTTTGGCTTCTTTCCCTTGGTCTGTACCATTTTGGACAATTTCTGTGTGACTAATTTTCTAACTTAATATCCATTTTCTATTTTGATCAGTCACATAGCATCCCTTGCCCCTCTTATCTACTTCAAGAAATTAACCCAGATAACCAGTAGCCATGTTGAAAAATAGCAGAGGTAGTGCGTCCTAAATTTAAAAAGCACTTAGGTTCTAGTCAGATTATATAAAAAACAAAGAGGCATTTATTTTCATAGAATAGGAGAGAAAATAAAATTAAAATGTTTAAAAAGTTAACTGTAATACATAGTAACTGCAAAAGATCCAATAAAATCAGCGTAGCAGATTAGATACATTGTTAAATAGAAGGTGCCCATTCCTCTGTTTTTGTGTCATTTCAACAGCACAAAATGCATAGAAAGATAGCTTAACTAACCAATTAGGGGTTCCTCTGGCCTAGAGGAATCTGCAAGTGAAATAGTTTTTGGCATGATTGTGTTGTTCCCTGCTCCAAAGTAGGACTATCTCCATGATAGGCAGCATGGCCAGAGTTTTAGCACACTCCTAAGGTTGCTCTAAATTGTTTCTCAAGACAAACCTGTCATCCAGCAGCCTGAGAATCAGGGATCCACAATGTGACTTAGAGCCCCTTTTGCAGCTTCCTTCAGACCCCCCCCCCCCACTCTCAGGCTACACTGGTTGCTAAAGAGCCAATCCTCAGATTCTGGCCATTAAACATCACATCTTTTGAGTAATTTTTGATAGGGAGTAAGGCCCTTTCTCTCTCTCTCTCTCTCATGGCAGTCCTAGTCTGTCCCTCTTTCAGACAGCTGGCGTCCTCTCTGTTCCAAAATGCAATCTGACTACCTCTTCTCTGGAAAGGGTTGTTATTGCTTTTTCCCACACCATTGAAATAACCGTTATCTATTCAAGCTATGTAAAGAAAGACGAATTAGGGTGAGTTCCAGGTCAGTCATTTAGTATGTCTTTTTAGGTTGGGGAATTCAAAGCATGGAAACTTTCCCTGTTTAAAGAAGTCTTGAGCTGCCAAAATACATCACATACGTTTACTAAAAATGTTACTTCAGAATCAAAATAAATATTAAACTATAGTATATCTAGATTCTGAGGTTTATTTTCATTTGTGGTCAAAGTAATTATCCTTATTTTACCAGTGTATAAATGTTTCTTTCTTCTGATATACAAGGATATGCCTGAATGTTTTGTACTACAGAGTTTCTGCAACCAGATACTAATCTTCACCATGTGGTAGACATTGTTCATCTGAACTATTTTATTGCTGCACTGAGCAAATGGAAAGATTTCTCAAGATATGCTATGAGAACAAATGCTATGAATCAGAGATTAGAATCTTTATCTTGATAAGTAAAATGCAATTTTAAGAATTATCTATTTAAAAGTCAAAATGTTATCACCCTATTTTAGTAGAGGTTTTTTTGTTTTGTTTTTAAAACATTCTTTGGGGGGAAGTTCCCTAAAATTTTTAAATCTATTTTCAAATATTTTTTCAGAATATTACATTTTAAAAGAGGGCTAGTGAAAGCAATGTAGGTGTTTTGCTGTTTCACAGACTCTATCAGTAATGGTACTGTGCATTGTAAACTCTTTCAGGCAGGGACCAGCTTTTGGTTTGTACAGCACCTAGCACAATGGGATTTTGGTCATTAACTAGGGCTCGTCGGCACCACAGTAATACAAATTAATAATAATAATAATAATAATTCTGCTCATTTACACTATAATGCTTGCATATTTTTTGAAATTTACATATATATTATATATTAATAAATATTCATTTCTTTCTCTTTGAAGACAAAGGATCCACAGCTCCATCTTTTTCTAAATGATTATAATTCATTTTTCACTGTGACTCAGACTGGTATAACCCGGTACCTCACCTTACTCCAACCAGTTGATAGAGAGCTCCAGCAGCTATACACCTTCTCGGTAAGCAATATTCTTTCAAAAGCACACCAGGAACTGCTCAGGTATTATAGCATTTTTAATGTTGAAAAAGCCAATATGGTATTTACAAACAGAATTCTAAATTTTGATATGACAGAGAGGAAATAAAACAGAGCATATGCTTTTGAATAGGCAGTCCTCAGCTCTCTCTCATATACAAGTTAATACCCATTTGGAGGATAGGAATAATTTAGGGCTAGATCAAGTATCAGGGGGTAGCCGTGTTAGTCTGTATCTACAAAAACAACAAGGAGTCTGGTGGCACCTTAAAGACTAACAGATTTATTTGGGCATAAGCTTTCTTGAGTAAAAACCTCACTTCTTCGGATGCATAGAGTGAAAGTTACAGATGCAGGCATTATATACTGACACATGGAGAGCAGGGAGTTACTTCGCAAGTGGAGAACCAGTGTTGACAGGGCCAATTCAATCAGGGTGGATGTGATCCACTCCCAATAATAGATGAGGAGGTGTCAATTCCAGGAGAGGAAAAGCTGCTTCTGTAATGAGCCAGCCACTCCCAGTCCCTATTCAAGCCCAGATTAATGGTGTTGAATTTGCAAATGAATTTTAGTTCTGCTGTTTCTCTTTGAAGTCTGTTTCTGAAGTTTTTTTGTTCAATGATAGTGACTTTTAAATCTGTAATAGAATGACCAGGGAGATTGAAGTGTTCACTTA